TGTCAGTCAATCGCAAAAATGTAAATATGGTTATGCCTTCAGACAGATCAGGCCTGATGAAAAGGCCAGTTTTCACTTAGTATTTAAATTATTAAGAAATATTTTTTTTTTATTGGAATTATATAATCAGTTAAGCAAGTATTTGTAGTTACAAACAATATTGTTAAAAAAATGAATATTGATTTCATTAAAGTGTAAATAAATATCCAGGCATTCATCTGTCAATATTACACATTAATAGTATAAAGACTTGGTATTGATGCTTTATTGACAGGGCTCTCATTAATGTTCATGTTTAGTATCTAGATAAGTTTAGTAACACGCAGGAAATATTAGAAAGTACGTACCTTGCACGCACTTCTTATCAGTCTATATACTTTTTTCTTGTTATTGCCAATGGTCAAGCTGTGGCCTGGAAAAATTTCAATTGTGTGTTACTACTTTCGACCCATCTGTAGCGGAATCCCATGTGTCCAATAAAACTGGTCATAAAAGGTATATGTGTGATCCATATACCTAGCATGCATTACACCTCTAAATGTATATGGGTCTTGGAAGGAATGTCTTTCTTATCCCAATCGTAAATTAGAAAACATGCAGTAACCCATTTTCGGGGGTTCACATTTGTGAATGTACTTTTGTTGATGGTGCGTGCACTGCGTGATAATGGATGTCATGAACACATACTCAGACGGCCCTTAGAGGTGCTTCCAATGTGCACAATGTGCAGCACTGAAATTGAACGCCTCCACACTCTGCATGGAGACACTGAACTTTACCCATAGAGATGCATTGATTCAATGCAACTCTATGAGGAGATGCTGATTGGTGCAGTGTGGCGATTTGCAGCAAATGCGTATTAGCCTTCCAATGCTTTCCTAAGGGAAAGCATTGCATTGACTGATATCATTAATTCCGATAAACTCAGTCAAAGATCGGGAGCGGAGGTGGATCCGCACGGAGTGCAATAAGTGTGAGTATTATAGACTGTAAGCTCGTTTGAGCAGGGTCCTCTTCAACCTATCGTTCCTGTGAGTTTTCTTGTTATTGTCCTATTTATAGCTAAATCATCCCTCTTATAATATTGTAAAGCGCTACGGAATCTGTTGGCGCTATATAAATGACAATAATAATAATAATAAAAATAATATTAACCCTTTTTAAGGGGTAAGAGGTGGCCTAATGTGTTTTTAATACTACGCTTGTATTCCTGAACCTATAGAGTTCCTTTAAGTTTTGAGATGCACTAAAAATATGTATCTACGTATATATATATACATCTCACTTTTCTGTAATAAATTCTGAACAACTACAGCTTAATGTAGTTGTTCTGGTGAGTGTAGTAGCTCCCTTCAGGCATTTTCATATAAACACTGCCTTTTCAGAGGAAAGGCAGTGTCTATATTGCCCCTAGGGACACCTCCCAGTGGCCACTCCTTAGATGGCCACTGGAGGGGCATCCTGGCTCAGGGCTGCACAGTAACTAACACTAACACACACACACTAACACACACACACTCTAATGCTAACACACACACACACTAACACACACTCACACTAACACACACACACTTACACACACTCACATTAACACACACACACACACTCACAGTAACACACACACACACACACACTATAACACTAACACACACACACTCTAACACACTCACACTAACACACACTCTAACACTAACACACACACTAACACACACATTCACACTAACACACACACTCACGCTAACACACACACACTAACACTAACACACACTCTAACACTAACACGCACTCTAACACACACACACTAACACACACACACTAACACACACACGCACAGTAACACACACACACTATAACACTAACACACTCACAGTAACACACACTAACACACACACTCTAACACACACACACTCACAGTAAAACACACACACACTCTAACACACACACATTCTAACACACACACACACTCTAACACACACACACTCACATTAACACACACACACTCTAACACACACACACTAACAAACACACACTCACACTAACACACACACACTCTAACTCTAACTCTAACACACACTCTAACACTAACACACTCACACTAACACACACACTCACGTTTTTAAAAAAAATGTAATCCCCCCAGCCTCCCTAACTGTGGGAGAGCTGAGGGGATTCCCTGGGGTCCAGTGGTATCACCCGGCAGGCTGGCTGGCGGGTGCGCGAGGGAGCACTCTCCCTGGCTGAGTGCTTCCTGTTCAGCTCCCTCACGCGTCATCTTCCGGCTCCGGTATCAGTGCGGTGCGCGAGGTAGCTGAACAGGAAGCACTCAGCCAGGGAGAGTGCTCCCTCGTGTGCCCGCCAGCCATCCTGCCTGCCGGGTGACACCAGGGCCAGCCTTGGGGGGCCCTGAGGTGGCCGACTCCTGGGCCCCCCAGGAGAAGAGGCAGGCCACAGTTGCATACATACCGGGTCGACCCGGTATGTACGCCACTGTCAGGAATCCATAAAAGGCTTCTCCCAACCAACTAATTCCTCTTTCACGCTGCGACAAAATAAAGTACATGAACGATACACCACAAATACAATAACAAGAGAAACAACATAAGATAACGATGAATGCCACCCTAAATTGGAAACGTGGAACCAGTGGGTGAAGCCTTGACCTTTATCCTGTAGAGTAGTCAGATCTAAGAACTGTAGCCGAACCATTAAACTGAAACGAGATAAACAGAGTCGAAAACACTGATTAGCTAATGAAATGTACTGAGAAAAACATGAATCCCCATCGTCAATACTGACAGTATAATATCTCAGATACTGAGCAAACATGAATCCCCATCATTAATACTGACGGTACCATATCCCAGATAAACCCCAACTCCCCTAGATTAACAAACCTAGCCCAGGAGACCAGGAATAAACAAAAGTCAGTCAAACCAACCAACAAACCAGGGAAGGGAGAAACTGGGAGGGAAATATTCGCCTCCTGTCATTAATAAAATTAAGATTATAGTTATACTAAAGCTAGTATAATCTACAATTTTATAACAAGACAGGAGGCTTCATATTTGCTGTTTTAACGCTTGGACAGCAAAGCCCAAAGAAACCCGATCCACCGTACCAACCTAACTTAGCGAAGATAGTTCCCGTAACCGGCAGGAAAGTGTACAATGTCCTGGAGAAAAACACCCGCCGTGATGGCGCCTGAAGTCGCCGAGTACCCACTGAAATGAACAAAAAGACCTATACGCCCCGTCAATGCCAACAACCACCGGGCGGTTCATGATGGGCGAAGAAAAGGAAAAGAACCGTCTAAACAAATGGTGGCGTCGCCTGCAACATAAAAAAGAGGGGCGCGCAGGTCCGACTAGAGCCGATAGACAACTAAGGTCCGAACATCCAAACCCATCTGAAAGAAGAAAAAAGGGTATGATAAGGGTAACAAATCCAGAGTCAGAGATGGACAAAAACCGATGGAAACCAGCGATTGAGGCATGACAAACAACGCGTGTACCCCTTGGGGAAATGAATACCCGTCCTCGGGAATCGAGAGGACTCACACCCCTATGAACCCGCACGTCTAGCTCGAAGGGAGATACCAACAGAGCGAGGCCCACCGAAAACAGTCGTACGGCCTACCTAATCTAAGTAATACGACAGTCCCCGGTCAATGAAACGACCAAACAATAATCGAACCCTGTAACATTGCAAAATTTCTGTTAATCCGTACCAGACCCAACTCCGTCAGGGTCGCCATGCAGGCAAACGTCTTACAGTCCCCGAGATCAAGTGGGACAGGTCCAGGGAATCCAGGCACTAGTCTCGACTCGGCCGAAGCGGAGGTCATAAAACCAAGGTACCAGCAGACCGAGACACTTGTAGTAAGGTCCTGGAAACAACAATGGAGGGGCTTTCTCAGTGTCTCAGTGTCGAACACCACTGAAGGGAAACGTCCATCACTGAGCAAACCAGTCTGTATGCCGGCTGAAACTGGACGGGGCTTAATGGGGTCTCTTCCGTGGGCTAAGGTCTTGACGCCGGGTCTTCCCGGAAAACTATTCCAATCGTATGAGAAACGTATGATGAAAACTTAGGAGGTACCCCCTTGCGTCCGATCCGCCCTCCAGGACTCTACACCTCGAGCCGCAGGGGGTCAATATTCCTTGTTTGAACAGGAACTCCAGGGACCCAAACAAGGAAAACGCAGATAGTGTCTGTCCCTTCAGTCTGGGGGGCAACTCGCCGAGGATCCAGCCAGCCCGTCCGTGAAATGTCCTCGTGGAAAAAACGAGAAGGAGCTCTTCAGATAGTTCTGGTTTGCCCGAATGTCCTAAATTCATCCAAACCTTCCAGCCAGGCTGTATTATCATCCAAATGAATAACGCCCCAGGTCCTTATCTCGCCAGGGAGAAACTTGAGCCCACCTTACCAGGAATGGGCCCCGCGGTCCTGGAAGTTCCCTGAGGACCGCGTCTAATTCAAAGTAACTAAAGGCTATACCTTCAAGCGTAGCCTCGTGCGGGCTCCAAAGGCCTCAGATCCCTTGATCCCAAGCACCTCCAGTGGTCCGAATTGACTAAGATAGGGTCTCCTGCAATCCCCAGGTTCAGGGTCCCGTCTGTTATGTTATCCGAAGGTGGAAGCAACTGTGACATTCGGGGCCCAGGGTCCAATCCCTTATAACAGGTACAGGTTGGAGCTTTAGATATGTCTCCGTAACGTTTTTCATATGAAAACCGGGACCCAATATTCTTCCCCATATGTCCTGTAGGACAACCCACTCATGTGGGGGAGAACCCTTGGCTTGTCAGTGCGGACTGAAAAGTAAAGTATAGGCACTGCAACGGGCCGTACTCCGGATCTCCTGTATACTAGACAGGCGTTGCCACCAGGAGAGCCGTAGCGCCCCATCGGGGTCTAAGTCTGGGTACGAGGCTACTTTGTTTGGGAGCCCGGCTGGGTATATCACTCCAAGTATCTTGCGGGCTTCTCAAGTCAGTAATCTACGGTCCCAGCAATGCACCGATGGTGCTAGGTGCCCGGGCCAAGACCCATCCGAAGAAATGAGCAATTGGTCTAGGGTCGCACAGGAGTTTGTTTAAGGCATCCCATAAGACAACCTCTTCTTCCACAGTCGTCGGAGCCCCTGTAGTGGGCTTGTTCTCTGTCCCACGGTGCCACTTGGGGGCATCGTCATAGTTCTTCGGAAGGGCCGAGACCCTTCCGAAGAAATGAGCAATTGGTCGAGGGTCACACAGGGGTTTGTTTAAGGCGTCCCACGAGACGACCTCTTCTTCCACAGTCATCGGAGCCCCTGTAGTGGGCTTGTTCTCTGTCCTGCGGTGCCACTTGGGGGCATCATCATAATCCACCCCCCATCGTCCTCTACTTCCAAGAGGGACCGGTCCGCCCGCTATTCGGCTCGGGAGGCCGTGGTGGGGGTGGGGTAACAAGGACTGTCATCCCTGCACCACCTAGGTAGTGGAGTCTGGCCGCCGAGGCCGATCGTATCGGGGTTAGACGCTTCTCCGGGGTCTAATCTGTCCGGGCGCCTGGTTTAGGGCCTTCACCCCTCCAGTAGCGCTTGTGAGCACTTGCTTTCTCTCCTCTAGGAGAGTCTGACTCATTCAAGTCATCTGTATTTATTAAAAAGGTGGTCACTGCCGCGTCCAAAGGACACCGCCTTACTCTGGCCATATGGACAGTGCCGTCCAGCCCAATTGCATTGGGGTTAAACGCTTCTCCGGAGTCTATCTTCCGGGTGTCTGGTTTAGGGCCTTCACCCTTCCAGTAGCGCTTATGCATGCTTGCCTGCCCTCCTCAGGGCAGTCTGACTCCTTCAAGTCTCCCGCGTTCTTTAGAAGGTGGTCGCTGCCGTAGTAGGCATCGCCTGTGTGCATTCCCCCGAATGAAGGGTTGACCGTGGAGTGGCCCTAGGCAAGGCGACCTCTAGGGGTATAATGGACAAGTGTCACCGGCAGCAGCATCAGGGCAGCACCCCATCTAGTGACAGAGGCAAATTTGGCAGCGCCTGCAATGTCCAAGCGTGAGTATGTAGTTGTAAGGCTTGGCATGCAGATATTCTGGCACAGACAACGCAGGCCAGATCAATGGGGCACAGACAAAGCAGGCCAATCAATACGGCTCGGACAAAGCTGGCCAAATCCTGAGGCACAGACAAGTCAGGCCCTACGGGGGTGCACAGGCGATAAACTGCCCTTCCATTCTTCTGTTTAATTGTACAATTCACTCCTCGGAGAAGATCTACCTAACACTTCTTCAGATTAATGGCACATAACACTCTCCTGTGTAACTGTAGTTAACACTTTTCTGTGTAACTGTACATAACGCTCTTCAGTGTCACTGTACATAACATTCTTCTGTGTAACTGCACGTAACATTCTTCTGTGTAACTGTACATAATGCTCTTCCGTGTAGCTGAACAGAACATGCTTCTGTGTAACTGTACATAACATTCTTCTGTGTAACTGTACATAACATTCTTCTGCGTAGCTATACATAACGCTCTTTTGTGCAATTGTACATAGCATTCTTCTGTGTGACCGTACATAACATTCTACAGTGTAATTGTACATAGCATTCTTCTGTGTAACAGTACATAACATTCTTCTGTGTAACTGTACATAGCCTACTTCTGTATAACTGTACATAGCATTCCTCTGTGTAACTGTACATAACCTTCTTCTGTGTAACTGTACCCAGCAATCATCTGTGTAACTGTACCCAGCATTCTTCTGTGTAACTGTACATAGCATACTACTGTGTAACTGTACATAGCATTCTTCTGTGTAACTGCACATAGCAAGGAGCGGAGGATGAGGGAAACCCGGAAGTAACTCGGAATCGGTTGCAAGTATGACCTGACACAAAGGAAATATCACAGGTAATATACCACACACGCATAATACAACCTATGCTTCCAATAACAAGAGTTACTACTATAGGAGGGGATCCCAGACTCAGCGAGAGTGAGGGATTCCAAACTGGTAGATAAATAGCCAATGCTTAATAAACAGAGCTAACTAATATATCGCCCTCTCTTTTTTCTTATATATTGTATCATTTACAGTGTTCAAGCCCAGGGTGGATCTGGTACCACCAACACTGACCTTACAGTTATAAGTCCAAGTTTATCCTGGACTCAGTGGCAGTTCTCTTCTATCTGAATAATTCCTATTATAGGACACTCCTTAATTAATCACTTATTTTCCTTATCTAAGGGTACATTCAAAAACTGTAGTTTGAAGTTATTTACCCACAGCTGATTGGTAGATGTTTTCACACATTACCCCAATATTTGTTTATGTATTGCTGGTACCTGTCCAGCAGATGACTATCTGTCTCCAGTAATTCCTAGTTTTAGCTTTCAATTTCATTGTATGTTGTAAAACCTCAAGTGGAATCGAATGTCCTATGATTAACCCAATGTACCTTGATCAATTTATACCTGTCCATGTAACTTTAGCTGGATTGTAATTATTTGATCATTTATATCTATTTCATATTACATTATCTCTATACCCCTCATAGTTGTAAGGGCTAGTACTAATATGATGCATATTATTATTTATTATTTAAACAAGTGCTTTCCTAGTGGTGATAGGTCACATACTTTTATTATTTTTATAAGTTTATATAAATATATGGTAATATTATATAGGTATATAGATGATATATTTATATTATTTATTGTGATTATTTCTCCTTCAAGAGGGGTCAAAACAGTGATAATTCATATATAAACAGCAGCTTTAAAGTCCAATTTAACTTCTACCTTTGCAACTAAGAGTCTTCATTTGAAAACTGCAGTTTTAAGGTATGGACTGGGATTCAGAAGATACCTCACCGGATTCCTTCCATCTTTTTACTACATATTAATTTACTATTACAATGTTACAATTTTTACTTATAGTTTACTACTGTAATATTTGTACTTGCAGTTAACTGTAGTAATTAATAATCTGGCTGATAGGATTTAATAGGCAAATATCTTAATATGTGCAACAAATGGCTTGTCTGTTCCATCACTCCTCCCCCCCCCCAATTGTTTGACTATCAAAGAGATAGGGACTACTTTGCCTCAGTATGTTCCTAAATCTGACACTGCTTGACACTGGGCAGAGTCACAGCTGTATAGAAGTGTCAATCTCACATCCGTCACCAGTGATGGCCGAAGGGAAATTGGTGGTTTCTAAAGGTCCTCCACAGACCTTAATGCTGTACGCTAGTGCATGCATGAAGAGAAACAGAAGAGGATGACGAGGACAAGATCAGGTAAGTTAAAGTTACCTGAATTTTAGAAAAAATGCCCAAGGCTGTAGAGGAACACATGGTGTTACTTTAATTTATTATTATTTTAACCCTTTATTGTTTTATTTTGCTTAATAAAGATAGTATTTTTCTAGCTACCCTGGACCTTCAACTTTGAAATTCCGAATATCCTGGCCTTTGTTCTGAAAGGTGGGGATTGTGCCACCAGAACCTTATGGAGTGAGAATCTCTACAGTGTGCATTATACTGCTGTTTTTCTGTTTTCATATATACCACAGAGAAGACACCACATCACCTTTTTCTCCCGTTTTTCTTACCTATACCATCTATGGCTATAGCCTTCAAGGAGCTACTCTCAACTCTTTTCTGTAACGGCACCCCCAGGCATAAAAGGGTTAAACCGCCGTTTAGAAGATCTTCCCCTTCCAGATATACAGGCAGCTACTGTAGACACCAATCCACCGAACTAGAGAAGCATATGAATGCTCTCAAACATTCTAATGCTGTAAACAGGTTTACACTCCTAGCAGTCGAACTGGAACAGCATACAATAAATCCCCCCCCCCCCAAGAACGAGACAACGCTCCGTTTTGAGGGTCAAGCAGGAACAGACAGAGCTGTGGGTTTATTGTTCTTATATACACATTAGTACCACCCACAGGGTTTTGAAAAACAATCAATAAACACGTACAATACACTCAGACACTCCCACACAAAATCCTCCCCTCTGCCTGTGATACAATTACCTTACACAATGGGTAATGTAATTATCACAGGCAGGGAAATACAGTTTTTCCACATTATTCATAACTTTACAAGTATGCATCACATTCACATAAAACTTACATTTTCAGAATCAGCATACTCCAAATACAAACATACGTCAAAAAACAAATTGGTCCAGTGGTTCAAAAGATAGATCGTAGTCCTTTGTGACCAAATGAAGCATGGCTTTTCTGCCCAAAACCAGTTCCACAGAGTTTTCTATCCTGGAGATAATTGGGAAGTAATCCAATTATCTCCAAGGACAGAGGCAAAACTCCATTGAACACATGGCAGCAAAAGACAATAAAATACATAAAAATATATAACTGTGCAGCCATTGCATAAAACAGGTACATTCAACATATCCCCAGATAGTTCAGATTTGAGCGCACATTATTACTGAATGGCATCCATAGTTACATAGTTACATAGCTGAAAAGAGACTTGCGTCCAAGTTCAGATCACACACACACAGTTCAATTGCCATGGAGCCAAAGTCTTTCCCATAGTCTTTCATTATACGAATGGGCTCCATGGCATAGCTATCTGGGGTATCACCGCTCAAACAGGGCAAGCATCAAATGACCCGGCTTTCGTGTCTTTGCAGGAGAAAATCAAGCGTTTCAACATGGGGCCATAGTCTAAAGGCAGCAGGAGGGCAACCAGGCTCCTCCAATGCACAGTGGCGAGATTGGTCTCGTCACACTTACCTCTGCCTGTCCCCTTTCAACCACTAGATCCCAAGAGACAATGTTCCCATTGAGGATCATTAAATATTATGTATATTATTAAGTTCCCAGACAGTGGCAGTGCCGCTTTAAATACGTCTATAACACATTCTACTATTAGCCTCCCAGGTGCCCATAGACAACTGACTAGTTTAATATAGTCTTGCTGGGAGTTGCTGGGTTTCTTCAATAGAAACGCGAATAAACGTTACAATTTAATTTTATTTTATTTTATGTATGTCTTTTTTTTTTCATTCCAACACAACTTCCTTTCTTTTTTTTAACAAATTGCATTATTTTGCCAAGTAGGACTGTAGCAGACACATGAAATATGCATAAGACTGCAGGCAAGGGATTATTGAATGGGGAGCTTCAAACTAGAATTGATCTATTCTTATTTTATGTATTATTTAAATATACAAAAACGACCAATGAAAAGTAATAAAACAGTTAAAAATTATATTCACTTTATTTACTTCATCAATGTACTTAGTTATTTATTCATACATTATATCATCATC